GTTTTTATAAGGCCTAGTTCAGAAAATTAATTCTTAAGGTAGGACACAATAGATAGGGCAAATTTTTTCTTCAAATTTAATTTTTCTGAAACTGAGATTTTGTTCTAAGATACAAAATCTCTATTTATTTATGATTTGAAAGAAATTCAACCACACATTTTTTGCCCACATAGTCTGAAATATGGCCTATCAGACCCCTGTAAGAAGATTGTGAAATCTGACATTCGACTTGAGAATGAGCCTTATTTTAGAATTATGAATTGATCTATTGGAAATTTGTGTAATACTTTTAATAAAGATAACTTTTTGTTACTTTAAATCAGTAAGACATTAGTCATATTGGTACTGGAAAATTTGAGTAAAATATTAAGTAAAAATAGAACATATGTAGCGTTGGACTTGCAAATTCACATAATTTTCGACAGTTTAAGTTTTCTGAAGAGAAAATGTATAATTTAATTTTTACAAAAAAAAAAATCAACAGAATGATTCAAATGGGTCCTCAAATAAAATGTGAAAAATTAACCCGATGTTTTTAAGTGACCGCAATATATTATACATGTGACAATAACGGAGCAGACTAAGACATGTCCGTACTCTGCAGCATGTAACAGAAAGAGAGGATATGTACACGTCACAACAGGTGCTGTGACGTATCCCATGTGATCGGATGTAGCAGGACAATTCGTGCCCAGTACCTCCAGGACCACCATACGGTCGATTTGATGCTTTGCATCAATTAAACTTATTTTCTGTTTCTAATCTGCTAGCTTTACTTCCTTTTTGTCAATTTTTAGTCCTACTGGGACACCATCAACGACCGATAGATAGATATCTATGGTGGTCTCCGAACTTCATATAAAAATGACTTTTTACATGCCAGAACCCTTCCTCTGTTCATTTCGTATCATCCTAGGGACTGATCGAGACTTTTAAAAGAAAAAAAAACTAATTCTCTGAACGTTTCAAAAAGTACAAAATGAGCGTAAGCTTACCTTATTTTTGTTCCACGTGTACAGATTTGTCAGCTAAGCAGCTTCACTTCGGAAAAAAATCGATCTGTTTTAAAATGATGTAGATCTACTTCCCTTTCTCTTTCCTTTGTAATTATTAATAAAAATAAACTTTGCTTAAGCACAATTCACAGAAACTTAGAAAACGAAAGAAATTTTCACAAAACGCACGTGGTTATTCACGTTAAACATTATATTCTATTTTCTTTTTCGTTTCGGTGAATTGCATTAGTGCATTATCGGTGGCAGGTGCAGCTGATGTAGATATGAGGTTGTCTGAGATTAGAATGTTGAAGGAAAAAAATTATACATGTATATATATATATAGATCTATACATTGTTTTGATGGATGTTTTCATATATCAAAGATTTTTTTTAATTGCTTAATGTTAAATATATGTCTAAATGATTGTACTTTTATTTCATGTTTTTTTTTCTTTTAAATCAGATGTTTAGTAATTCATAATCGACCGCAGCATATTATATTGTTAACAAACAAAAGAAAAAAAACAATAAAAGTATTAAAATTCGCTCAATATTTACTCGTAATGGTTGCTATAAGATTTCCATTTAAATCAATTTTTCCTACAATTTTTTCTAGTAACAAGGGCAACACCGTTAATTAGAATGACAAAATTTAAAACCTATACATTAAATAATATGTATCTATGTGCAGTCTATTCGTGACCAAGTTATATTGTAATCAAACATCGCTCACCTGATTTACTTTGTTCATTACCAGATTTCCCCTTTGTAATACCTATTGTGGTTCCAACCTACCCGCGGGGTTTATGATTTGAACAATCTTTAGAATTTACACTACCCATGCAAGGATGCTTCCGTATAAGTTTCAGCTTTTCTGGCCCAGTGAATCTTGAAAAGAAGATTTTTAAAGAATTTTCCTTTATATTTCAATGGAAAACTTTGATGAAATCCTAATTTGGTCCTGTCCTACTCCCAGGGGCCATGACTTGAGCAATTTAGAATCTACACTACCATAGGATGCTTCCATATAAGATTCTGTTTTTCTGGTCAATTGGTTCTTAAGATTTTTTAAAGAATGTTCAAGTATATTTCAATGTAACTCTTGGATTCCCTATTGTTACTCTGCTCTACTCTTAGGTTTCAAGATTTTAACAATTTAGAATCTACACTACCCAAGGGTGTTTCCAAATTGATTTCAACTTCTCTGGTCCAGTGCACGTGGTTCTAGAGAAAAAGATTTTAAAAGATGTTTCCTTATTATATATTTCAATGTAAAAGTTGAATTCCCTATTATGGCTCCACCTTACCCCTGGGGGCATGATTTGAGCAATTTTTGATATACACTACCCGGGGATGCTTCTGAATAATTTTCAGCTTTTCTGGCAAAGTGGTTCTTGAGAAGATGTTTAAAGAATTTTCCTATCTATTTCAATGTAAAACTTGGATTCCATATTGTGACCTCGCCCTATCCCAGGGGCCCTGATTTGAACAATTATATATTGGCTGAAATTTCCCAAGTAGTTCTTAAGAAGATGACAATGTGAAAAGTTTACGACAACAACAACCCCAACAAAGACGACAGAAAACAGACAAATTTTGTTCAGAAAAGCTCACTTGACAATATAAGTTTCAGCTTTTCTGGCGCAGTGGTTTTTTTTCTTGGAGGAAAACCTTTTACTGCTTAATATAGGTTTGTGGCTGTTTTGATTCCTTGCATCAATTTGACTTGTATGTGGTGTAAGCATTGTGTCTTTTGTCCAACCTTCAATTAGGCAGTCTCTTAAAGCATAAAAAATGAGACGCCTTGTAACAATAAAATAAATTTATAATTAAAAGACTTTATTAATCAGTTTGCTATCTTCACTGTACATTGTATCCCGTTTAAGATTTACGCATCAAAATGCCAAAGAGAGCCCATCTGTCAAACAGTAAAAAGAAATACCAGGTACCCCGTATTCATACATGTACTAGTGGAGGGAATATAATTGATTACAATAAACACAAAGATTAAGATGGATACTAAACATCAAACTAAAAATTTCAACTTCGTTCTGAATTGCTTCAGTGACTTTTTAACTTTTTTATGAATTACTTTAGGTACGGTATAACACAGAAAAAAAGTATTATAACACCTATTTATTTGCGTTTCTTTAATGTATATTATCACGTGATTGCGTGCAATCAGAATCATCCTGCGTAACATACACATGCATAACTAGTATCAAAAAAATATTTTAACATGAGTATTTTAACGGCTATCTAAAACTATCAACTTCCTTATCACTGAACTGATCGCTGATGCCCTGATCCTCAAAAACTATATAATATATATATTTACTTAGTCTTGACAACTTTCCTATACAAACATTCTTTAACTTAATATACTGTACAACAGGACTTCCTTTCCGCATTGCATCTTTCTTCTCCATGCTCCTGTGTAATATTTGTACATGTAAGTTGTTTTAGAATTCAGTAAATTGAGCTTCTTTACCAACTATCACTTTTAGTCTTTCTCCTCTCTTCTTCCTTCGGCGGCCATTTTATCCACCTGTTCCTCCAAGTAGTCGTCTGCGAAATCTGCCGTCTGCTTCAACGCCTTCAGAATCAAGATGTCAATGTTGGGTTCCAAACTAGTTTCACTCTCGTAGTTTTTGATTGGCATGATGTAGCCACGTGGTAGTCCCATGACATCAGCGACCTTGTCGACTGTGTCACGAACGGCTGGACTGTGGAACATTTTAGACGCGTCCTTATTAACGCTTGCGCAGACTTTGTCAAGCTTCGTCAAATACACGACCTGGGGAATATCTGATCAAAGAAACAATAAATTAAAGTTTAAAAGAATATGAAAAAATTGGGAGGAATCTGAAACAAGAGGCCCATGGGCCATATCGCTCACCTGAGTAACTTGGATGATGCAGATCTTTACCAGATTCCCCCTCTTGCTATACCTATCATGCCCAACAACCCCATTCCCTTTTTTATTTTAAAACTTTAGAATCTACACTACCCAAGGATGCTTCCACATAAGTTTCAGCTTTCCAGGCCCAGTGGTTCTTGATTTGTTCTTTATATTTCTATGTAAAACTTGGATTCCCTATTGTGGCCCCACCCTACCCCGGGGGTCACTATTTTAACAATTTAATATCTACACTACCCAAGGATGCTCCCACGTAAGTTTCAGCTTTCCTGGCCCAGTGGTTCTTGAGAAGAAAATTTTTAAAGATTTGTTCTTTATATTTCTATGTAAAACTTGGATTCCCTATTTTGGCCCCGCCCTACCCCCAGGGGTCATGATTTTAACAAGTTAATATCTACATTACCCAAGGATGCTTCCACGTAAGTTTCAGCTTTCCTGGCCCAGTGGTTCTTGAGAAGAAGATTTATTAAGATTTTTTCTATATATTTCTATGTAAAACTTGGATTCCCTATTGTGGCCCCGCCCTACCCCCAGGGGTCATGATTTTAGGAATTTAATATCTACTCTACCCAAGGATGCTCCCACGTAAGTTTCTGCTTTCCTGGCCCAGTGGTTCTTGAGTAGAAGATTTTTAAATATTTGTTTTATATATTTCTATGTAAAACTTGGATTTCCTATTGTGGCCCCGCCCTACCCCCAGGGGTCATGATTTTAACAATTTAATATCTACACTACCCAAGGATGCTTCCACATAAGTTTCAGCTTTCCTGGCCCAGTGGTTCTTGAGAAGAAGATTTTTAAAGATTTGTTCTATATATTTCTATGTAAAACTTGGATTCCCTATTGTGGCCCCGCCCTACCCCCGGGGGTCATGATTTTAACAATTTAATATCTAAACTACCCAAGGATGCTTCCATGTAAGTTTCAGCTTTCCTGGCCAAGTGATTCTTGAGTCTGAAGAAGATTTTTAAAGATTTGTTCTATATACTTCTATGTTAAACTTGGATTCCCTATTGTGGCCCCGCCCTACCCCCGGGGGTCATGATTTTAACAATTTAATATCTACACTACTCAAGGATGCTTCCATACAAGTTTCAGCTTTTCTGGCCCAGTGGTTCTTGAGAAAAAGATTTTTTAATGACCCCACCTTATTTTTGTCTTTTCTTGATTATCGCCCTTTGTAAGGGAACTTGGCCCTTCCTTTTAACAATTTAAGCTCCCCTTTACCTTCGGCTCACGTGAGCTTAAAAGAGTCATAGTTTACTAGATATTAGCGTACACCCCTCTGAATTGTACACAAATGGCATCAACAGTAATACTGTAATTGCGTTTCAACAAATGATTTGTGAAAAAAAAAATTAATAAGCTGAATACTTCTTGTTTATATTTCTATCACAGAAACTTTTAAGGATTCACCTACTTCTCTGATTCATCCTTCCCTGTAAATCCTTAAGCTGTTTGAGAATTTTTTGTGGAATGACATCAATAGTACTTCCGTCCACCACAAACGCCACACAGTGAATTTTGTCTCCAAGTCTCGGGTTCCGAATGAAACCAAAGGTCTCCGTTGTAAACGGTGCTGACGGATTAAACTGAAGATAAACTAATATAATGAAGGCATTGGTTATTTTATTTTAAAAAGGATTATTCTTACATTCACTTTCACTATTTAGCCTGTCTATCTGACTATGCGAATGATAGCTCAATTTCTAAAAGGTTTCGATATAAGAAGACCATGGACGTGCATATATATAACAATATAAAAAATGTCTCAAAATATATTTTAATAATTTATCAAGTCAGGTATTAACTCTACAGTTCAGGTTGGTAACGAAAAACTATTTTATATTTTAAATCATGCATTGCAAAAGGAAAATAGCTAAGTTCACGAAGAGCAAAAATCCGCCTAGTCATCAAAATAAGTGAAACTTCCTGACATTATACTCGAGGATTTGTATGTTGTAAAACATTTTATTTTTTAAGAATATCTTTTCTGGTTTTCTTTTTACAGCCGTTTCAATTTAGCATTGTTTTCTTCATCAATGCTGTCACGTCATTACGTTGACGTTATGCTTCAACATCATAACGCTGACGTTTTGTATAAAAATAACACATTACGTTAATTAAATAAGAATCACCAGTACAGGCCAATCTTCAAAATTTTAGGAAAAAAATTCTATGATTTTATAAGAAGTATAAAAAATGGACTGTTTTTTATTTTATTTATTTGTACTTCAAAGAAATATGAACTATTTGTTATATACATGTATACTATATAACGGTTGACTGGAAAAATCGTGGATACATGTAACACCTTTTAGTGAAAATAAGGGACAGATTTAGCTGAACACAAACACAAAGTGTCAATCTATCATATTTGAATAGAACTGATTTTTTGTAGTAAAATGTATACTACACTGTATAGCGGCCATGTAAACGGATTTTTATATTCATAGATGCGTTATTATATGGTCCTACGGAAAACAAGCTAAAAAATGGAGGTTTTGTCAGAGAAAAGACAATTCTTCTATTACAACGAAACAATAAAGTTAAAAAAATGTTTAATAAAAATAAATATTTTTGAAAATAATTTACCATATCTATTATATTGTTCTATAAAGAATTTGCTTCACTTGCTTAATTTATATGCATTAATTTTCCTTATCATTTGATATGTACGCAGTTCTTACAGGTAATACACGAAAAATTGTGACGTTTAACGGCAATCTTACGCACACAGAATGACATATTTCAGAAAGAATCAACACTATAGACCTTTTAACAAAGTTGATGCAAATCATCAAATCGGCCCAAAATTAGTTTTTAAAAAAAGGAGTCTAAAGGAAAACACAAGATTTCCAAAGTATTTGAATTTCCAAAGTATAAACACAAGATAAACATCATCCTATAGCGAAGATGGATAAATGGAAATGCGCGTAAACCAATTAGTTAATGTAAATGACTTACTAGTAATTGAAATAAAATCAACTGATTAATAATAAAAACGTTATATAATCAAAATGAAATAAAAAAAATATGTCGGAAATAAAAAAAATGCTGGAAATGCTATGCAGATTTCCGGAAATGAAATGCAGCGGCTGATAACATGTATCTTTGTCATGTGACAATGCCGATGTTCTATCAAAATACGCAATAGTGAATAAAAAATGTCATTTGACTTGCAATTTACGAAAGCCGGATAGGCTCATTTCTGAAAAGATAAAAAAAAGATGGGCGGATAAGGCGGGCAGATTGCCCATAGCATCAGATATTAAGAAATCACATTTGATATGCAAATTGAGTATTTAAGGAGGAATGCCACACCAAATTTTTATTTTATAGATCTGTAAGTCAATCTTTTTAAACAATGGTTTCAGCATTGAAAGGCCGAAATTAGCACTCAATTATTTTATATGAATTTTTTTGTATTTTTTCAAAGAAAATGAAAATAATTATTTCCATCAAAATAAGATGATTTCTTATAAAATTTTCGCTGTAAATGAATGCATCACATTAATATCTAACAAAATATGTGTAGAAAAGCCGTATAGATATAAAAAAAAATTAAATAAAGAAATATTTATAAAAATAAAACACAAAATTTGTGAATATTTTTTAAATTTGTGGTTAAAATTTTCTTAAAACCAGTCACAACTGGGGAGAACATGTTCATTAATCATATTTATAAAAGAAATTGAAACGAAATGGCCAAATTTTAGAGGAATTAATTTTTTTTTTATTTTGGCCAATCCCGATCAAAATTAAACCGATCCCAACTATAATTGTATATTTATTGAAAGTAAATACATTTCCCCAAGAACACTAGTCTGATTAAGTGTAATAAGGATTAAAACATTTATGAACCTGACAATAAAATAGATTTCTTCATTGTAAATACATGAAGAGGCAGTAAATTAGCATTTTATTAATTTTGTATTAATTTTGATCGGGATCAGTTTAATTTTGATCGGGCTAGGTCCAAATATCAAAAAAATTATTTTCTCTTAAATTTCTCAATTTCGTTTCAATTTCTTTTCAAAATATGATTGACAAACATGTTGTCCTCAGTTGTGACTTGTTTTATGAGAAAAAAAAATTTCAGAAAAAATAAATCTCTTTAAAAAAATTCATTCATAAAAATATTCCATGGTATTCGTGGGATTCGAACCCCCAGCAAAAAAATACGTAAGTATCAGACTGCTTTGAGACTAACGCGCTAACCACTACCGGTATGCTACATGGCTCATGATGAATAATGGCATTTAAAACATGTTTCTGATATGACCTTTGACTTAATGGACTTGAAGTATTTCTCGGAAAGATGCGAATGTTTTGTCATAAAAGTGTATTTTTAAGGTATAGTGGGCCTTCCCTCCATTTTTTTGTAAACCAAAAAATATATATTTTATCGGAAACTGTTAGGATTATCTTTCAAAAAAATGGAGCGAAGACCCACTCACATTGAAAAATTTTGTTAAAGTATGAAAAAATGATCGATTTTGTTCTTTTAAGTCTGTGTATGCTTTTTCACGGGCAAATATTTTCAGTTTTTGTGAGATCTTTGTAAATTATAGAAATTTTACATTAAGTATACTTTAATATTAGATGAGATATGACATAAAATTTGGATATAATTGAGATGAATTTTTTTCCCTTCTTATCTGTCGCGCTATAGGCATTCTGCCCGCCTTATACGCCCATCTTCTTTAACTCGTTATAACGAGTAAATTATCTCGTTATAGGGACTAATTCATCTCGTTATAATGGCTTAGTATCTCGTTATAACAAGTTAATAATCTCGTTATAACGAGTTAATTGTGTCGTTATAACGACTATCTGGCTTTCGTTGTAATTCACCTAGTATTAAAAAAAATAACTTCTTCTGAAAACTTTTTTAATATATGAGATATTTTGGCACTGTAATTCATATCTGGAAACAATACGTTTTGTTCTTTGGGATCGAGCAGTTACGGAAGCGTAAATGGCTCTACACTTGTTGTGTTATAACTTTGTATATTGTCTTATATTTTATCGACTTATCAACATAAAAAGTGTTATACCTACTTATTTATGCCCATATTTTGAATTGTATTGAGGTTTATTTACATAATTGAAGGCAACTTCTTTTGTTCAATAGATTTTATTGCTTTAACTTTTATCGACTGAAATATATACTAATTTTCAAATATCGATCTAAACAAAATAATTATTCATGTCAATATAGTATTGTCGATTTGAAGAAATAGATATGAAGTTATATCGATATAGATATATGAATATTTTCGAGAAGAAGTCAGAAACAGGTGTTTTTGAATTAACTTGGCGGGAGCGGGAATTCTAATTAATCTTCACTTCAATTGGGAAGCTTATGTACCATGTATTTGCTATCGTGTACGATTATAGGCTGAAACAAAATTAAAAAAAATATTTGAAAAATGGAGATGGAGAGACATCAACAGTTGAATTATCTGCATTATCATAGGAAATAATTGTACCCATCATTTTGAAGAGGGAATCTGATATATTCTATCATGGTTCACTGCTTATATCTCTAGAGTTCAATGGGGATTGTAAATCGCCAATGAAGCGAAAATAGAAAGTACCGGATAACACTATAATAAAAGTAACACTGATTATACATGTACTTTGTAAATATTTGATGTTTCACTCTGTGATATACGTAGGATCTGACTCATGAATGCGAACCTCCACAGTCTTGAAACCTCCCAGCCCCCCCCCCCCCCCCCCTGCATAAAAATATAATACCACCAGATCTAACTTCTTATTGCTTTAAATAATATAAAATAATTTGTGATTTCAGCCAATCTGTATAAGCCTAGTCACAAAGTTTAAAGGAGGAAAGTGTAGTGTCAGCCAAAATAAAGGATCACTTCGTCATAAATAGGGATCTGACCTATAGGACCGGGCCTGGTTTTATTCTCTACAAAAAGCTTGCCGATTTCCGTTCTGATTAATGACATTAGGCTGAATACATATAACAATTTGTTTTTCCTAAATATTTATTTCAGTGATTAGAGGTAGAAGCCGAATCCTTTCATAGATTTCTTAGTTTGTTATCTACAAACATAATAATTGATATTTTTCTTTACTTCTTATTGTGCTTAATGGTAATGTATACTGTTTTTGAAATTCTATTCTTTATGTTCAGGCTATTTATCCGTGGATAATAAAACATGCCATTAATGTGTGCAAATTATATAGGCCTAAATGAAATCCAAGGAAAACAGTTACTGATATATGATATGTAAACAAAGTCAATGTGATTAAATTCTTAGAAATATATATAAATGAAATTCTTCGCAGCTCAATGCTTCCAAGAATACCTGTATCGAGTAACACAAAGTGAGCTTTTCTTGTCCTCGGAGAAAGTGTGCTTATATTGTTCCGCCTGACTGACAACTGTACATTGGATTGTTACGATCTGATCTTTCTTTAGTGTTCATTATATCAGGAATGGGCATGCATAAAGGATAAATAATTGAAAGTTAATGCAAAGGTCTATAAAAAAAATAAAATAGTCCTTGAAAAGGCGAAAAATTAAAACTTTAAAGGTATGGTACCAGGTGGATTCGAACCCTCGAATTTAAAAAGAAAGCATCGTA